CCCTGCACCCGAGGCCCGCGGGCCGGGACCCCCAGCAAGGTCGGTGGGGGCGGCCCGGGCCCCTCTTTCCGGGCTCTTCCCGCTCCGGGGCGGCCTAAGCGCTCGCACCCGGTTCCCGCGTTTCCGCCGCCCCAGAGCGGGTCTCTCTGCACCCCTCGGGCCGGAGGCCCCGGGCGGGCAGGGCGCAGCCTCGGCTCCCAGGCCTCGGCTCCGTCGCCCAGTCCGCGCGCCCCAGGGCTGCTCCGCTCCCCCTTACCCACGCGCCGCCCCCAGCGCAGCCGGGCCGCGGGAGCCCCGGCCGCCGCTGAGCCCGCGGTCCCCGATCCCACTCCCGGCCCTCGGGTCCGAGCCGGCCGCAGGAAGCCCTGCGCTTGCGGGAGTTCAGGTCATCTCCTGTTTTCTGATGGGCCCAGACTCGGGCTAAATGAACGGATGTGCCTGCGAGATTGGGCTCAAAATAGAAGCGGCCTTAGTATTTTAGGATACTGCAGAAATCCTTATTTCTTCCGGAGAAAAACTCTATAATGACTCCTAGCACTTCCCCTTTCAATATTTGTGCAACTTTATCTCCACCGGCAAGTTGCTCTGGTGACGCAAATCCGCCCCTGTGTATTACAACTACCAAAATAAACGCACGGAAATCAATTCCCTTCTAGCAATGAAAATATAAATATACAGCTGTGACTTTTCCCTTTAATCTTTGCTTTCCGAGCCGTCCGGGCGGTGGCGAAATGAGCGGCCCAGAGCTACTGAGCGAGGCGGGCAGGCCTGGGGGCAGGGGCAGGGCCGATTAAGCCCAACTAATTGGAACTCAGGCTACACCACCGGGTCCTAAATGTGGCCGCATTTTGGGGGGAAGATGCCGCATAGGTTGGGGCTGCTTCTGACCGTTTTGTTTTTGTTTTTGTTGTTTTTGGACTGTTCTCTGTAATCCTTGCAATTCCTCTTTCTTTTCTTTTTCTTTCTTTCTTTCTTTCTTTCTTTCTTTCTTTCTTTCTTTCTTTCTTTCTTTCTTTCTTTCCCTTCCTTCCTTCCTTCCTTTCCTCCCTCCCTCCCCTCTTCCTTCCTTCCTTCCTTTCTGGGCGGACACAGCCAGTCTATTTCCCTGTTCTGAAAGGACAGATTTGAGAAGGTTCTTTATAATTTAACAGGATGGCTCAGGGGGACCTAGAAAGGCGAGCAGAGATCCGATCCAGGTAGATGACCCCGTGACTCAGGCCCCCTGCCTCTGGCATCTCCATACCTAACATCCTCAGCACGAACTCTTATCCTGGACCCAGGGACACAAAAGGTCAATGACACCCGGCGCTGGGCTTTGCTTGGGACAGGAATGCACCTCTGCATGAGCTTCGCTGGCCCAATCTGCTGCCTGCTCCTGTTTTTTGTTTTCGACTCCGGGCAAAGTAACGGGCAAGGCTGTTGCTCTGTAGGCTCGGACACCCCACCCACTAATTTTAAATATTATTTCAAACGTGAAACCTACTGGTTTCAAAAAAAGAGAGAGAGAGAGATTGAAATAAATATTCACAGTCAAAACGAAAAGGAAACACAGCTTACTCAGCTGTTTAAGAATTCGAGAGATTTGCAGTGCTGCAGGAATCTGTGTATACGGTGCCTGTCTTTCTGCCCGAGGGAGATTTATGGGCCACCGAGCCCAGCACTCACAGGTCGGCTTCTTGTGGGTTCTAGGTCCTGCTTTTAGGCTTTGGAGACCCCCTGCAGACGACACACACCGACTTTGGGTTTCTCTGGGCAGACCTCTGCTCCTTCCCTGGAGACCTCACAGTGGTCCCAGAACTAAATACAGATGCTGAGTTTTTCGAAAGAATTGGGCTTCGGGTGGGCAGGGTAAATAATGCATAGGGACCCCACCACCGGGTTTATTCTTTCTCCACTTCCCGGTGGCGCCTGGCCAGTCCTCCGGTAGCTAAGGCCCTCGAGGGCAGCCAGTCCTTTCTGCGGCGGAGCCCCTACCCTCGGTCGTCAGCCACAGGTCTGCACCCAGAGCTTCCAGCAGCCCTTTGGGTCTGATCCCACTTCCTCCTTCCTCCCAGGAGTTCCGACATTCCACCCCCCAGCTCCGCATGCAGCCAGGAAGGACCCTAACCCCCCGAAAACCTGCTGCAGAGCCCACAGCAAAGGGGCACATTGTAACACACGCCCTGTGCTCGCCAGGAAGTCATGGCCCCCTAAGAGCGAAACATGAGAGACCATTTGTTACCCCAGCCATTCCGGAAGGCTGAGGCAGGAGGACTGCAAGTACAGTTAGAGGCCAGCCAGCCCGGATGCTAAGGGAGACCCTGTCTCAAAAAATCAAGTAAGTCTGGAGCCCAGGGGTAGAGTGTGTGGCTACTGTGCACCTGGCCCTGGGTTCAGGCCTCCCATCGGGGAACGACAAGCCGGGAGTCGGAAGGGAGGAGGAAAGCCACGCCCGGAGCAGCAAAGACAACTGAGGCAGGCTGTCCGCCCGGCTGGGAAGGGAAGAGGGACCAAGCCCGGAACCAAACCAGGAAGGGGAAGGTCCTGCGGGGCGCGAGGATAAGGAGGCCGAGGAAAGGCCCTTTGCGGACGGAGCCAAGGGGCCGCCCCATCGCGGGGTCCCTGCCTGCCCCCAAGCCGGGCCGGGACCGGGGCAGCTTCGGGATGCGCGCAGAACCCTGCGGCCGGGCGCCTCCACCTTGCGGGCGAGCCCGGGCAGGGAAAGTCGGTTCTCTGCTGCCACCTGCTGGACCACCCCCGCGTTGCTGTCTGACAGGCCCCGCCTGGTGCGGAAGGTTTGCTCTTGCTCTGGAAAAAGACGGGTTTCTAAATCGGCCTGGACGCAGCACAGGACGGAGAGACGCTGTGAGAGACCGAGACCGGGTGAGGGAAGGACTGATCCTGCAGTAATAAGGATCGGGTTACAGATCTCTGGGTGACCTCACAGCTATTATCTCACTCTAAAATAACCCCTGTTGGGTGCTGAGGAGATGGCCGGCTTTGAGTAAGGAAGCAGGTCCTCCGAGAGGTGGAGTGGCCTCCCTCAGTTTTGTTTGTTTGTTTTTGGAGACAGGGTTTCACTATGTAGTTCAGGCTGGCCTCGAACTTGCAGGGATCTTCCTGCCTCAGCCTCCTGAGTACAGAGATTACAGGTGTGCGCCACTGCACCCGGTCCTCTTGCTCTTTCTGTAGATATCAGGCTGGACTTTTCTGCCCAGATGCCACCCCCACCCCCACCCCGTGGTCTGCTCTTCTGTGGCCTTCTGCACCTGGAACCCTCGGTCTTCCTGACCCAGCCTCCTTCTACCCGCCAAGCCTGTTCTCTTCCTCCACTTTGCAGTCCAAGAGTAGAGCCGGAGGGCCCCACCTGGGCACACAGCACTCAGAGCCGCCCTCTGCCTGCAGCCTTCCTCCTCCACACCCTCCTGCTTGGCCTGCTGGGCTGTCCTGGTGCTGCAGCAGCTCAGCTTAGGGTCTTCTCTAGGGGGCTGTCCGGCCTCAGCCCCCTGGAAGGTCACACACACTAGGTAGTTTAAAGGGAAAATACGGGTGCATTCATTAAAGAATTTGTCCAGATTTCAAGAAATCTGAGGGCAATGAAATATCAGTGAGCTTGAAAGGCTCTGCGGAGCCCCCATCTCCCACCAAGTCTGGGGCTGTCTGTCGTTTGGTGCCAGACACTTAGCAAATGGAGCGGCCTCAGTGTGCCCAGCTCTGCATCACACCAGAGCTTAAGAGCAAGTGACTGTAAGCGCTAAGGAGCTACTGTCAGCGGTGCCCTGGGAGAAAGCTCCAAGCCCTACATTAGTGTGTCAGTAACTATTCAGCTGCTCACTGCACTCTCAGGGGCCAGCGGCACAAATTCCGAAGCACCGTCTTGGGGCTGAGGATGAGGAGGAGTTTACGCAGAGCTGAGTCTGGGCTCAGTGGCAGCAGAGGACCCGGTGTGTAGGACTGCCCAGGCGGTGCCTCGGTGCGCTAGCTCGTTCGTTAGGCCATAAACATGCGTTAGTGGAAGCCAGATCTGTGTTCTGTCTTACAGGCGCCCACAGCCCGACGGGGACTTGCTGCCACCCTGGGTACGATCACAGCAACAGTGGTTTAAGACAGCACCACATCAGGAGGAGAGGTCTCTCCAGACCGCCGCTTTCACACTGTAATTTATTTTGCCTAACTGACATTTTCACACAGTTGTTAGTGTTTTTCATGTCTTCTTCTTCACTCATTTCTTTGAGATTTCAGTGTTCTTCTTCTCAGGAGCTGAGAACTTCTCTACATGAGAGATGTATCCTGACTCTTTGTTACTTTTATTTTTCCTCTGTTTATGGGTCACTCTGAGTTGCTTTTGCTCTGTCCCTAACTTCCTTAGGAGCTTGAAGTACAGGCCCAGACATCACAGTGTCTGTGTGGCTGTTGATGTCCCCTAGCGGCCAGTGTGCTAAAGGCCTGGCCCTAAGTTAGTGCAGCTGGACCTTTGGAAGGAGGCCTTTGTGGGCAGCTCTGAGAGTGTGAGCTCTGGATCACTCAGTTTTCCCATCACTGGGAGGAAATACCCAACACCCACAGCTTTAAGGAGGAGAGGGTTGTTTGGCTCTCGGTTCCAGTGGGTTCAGTCCATAGTTGGCCACCTCCAAGACAGAAGCGCGTGGTGGAGGAAAGCTGCCCACTGCACGGTGTCCAGGAAGCAGAGGGAGAAGGGAGGAGCTGGGGACAAGAATGCCCCCTTCCAAGTCACACCCCTTGTGACCCTCCTGTTCTGACCAGGCCCCACCTCCAAACTTGAGACTTTTGGGGAACATTTTAGAACCAAACCGTAACCTTCCTGCTCTGACCCACCACATGTTAATGTCCATTTCATTATGCAGAATGCACTTAACCCACCTTCCAGTGTCACCAGTCTTAGGAGCACTAGCACTGCTGAGAAGTCCAAGTCCAAAGTGCCCGCTAAGACTCCTGGCGAGCTCATAGCGGTGAGCCCCTCCATGTGAACGCCAAAATGAAAGTTGAACACTCTCAGCATAACTCCCATTCCAAAAGGGAGGGTGAGGGGGACAGACAAAAACCAGATGAAAGCAGCAGCCAATCCAGCAGAGCAAGCATGAGACCCTGCAGCCGCGTGCCCAGCACCTGGGGCAGGTGTGGTGATGTGTGAGCAGTGCCACCCTGTGGCCTTGCTGGTTTCAGCCCAAATGCCCTCCCTCAGAGTGGTCCCCCCTGGCTGGCTGTACCTCTTCTCAGCAGCTATCCCACGTTTCTGGCCTCTCCAACCTCCTGCATTCTCCACTGCACCGCAAAGGCTCCTGACAGGGACTGCGATGCTGTCACACACGTTTGCCTGGACTGTTAGGTCCTCTTCTGAAATCTGAAGCCTCCAGAACCCATAACTTTCAATCCTCCTGGCCTATAAAACCAGCACCATGTGGGTGACACCAAGTCTGCCATCAGCATGAGCAGTAGCCATGCCTCCTTGGCTCTGAGTACATGGATGGAGAACTTGGGGATACATTTCCCTACGTGTCTCTGAATCAGCAGACATTCCAGGGACTTTCTTGTTAAGTGAAATATTTAGTTTTGTACCTTTGAACCTGAAATGGATGGGGTATTGCTGATTTTTGAGAAGCCCGTAAGACGTCTTTCTTCTTGCCTCTGTGCAAACCACTTGGCTTCTTTTTATTGTTACTCTTTTTAGTAACCAACTTCTCTTTTGCCCCAACTTTGTAAGCATACCCATTCTTGTGAAACAGCAAACTTTTCAAATCATTCAACTCTGTTTGCTTCTGATTTTCACTGTGAGTATGGCTAAATGTAGCTGAGAGTACCCAGGCCATGACCTGAGCATTGGGCTGCCTTGAAATTTCCTTTGCAACGTTATTTAGTCAGTTGCCCTCAATCTTAGTCTCTTGTCATCTCAGCACATGGGCAAAATGTAGACAAATTTTCAGCCAGAATGTAATACACAGAGTCTCTAGTCCAACTGCCAGTGGAGTCTGTTGTCAGCTGAAATCACCTGAACCTGGTCTTTAATGTTTGCCTTCCTATCAGCATTCTGGTGTTATGAGTTTGTTGTGGTTGATACATTGTGTCAACTTGGGGAGTCTAGAGGTTTGGCTAAGTGACTCAGCAGGAAGCCAGGGTGCTTACTTTGTATTCATCCTGAGCCTGTGCAAGAGGCAGGCATGCAGAGGGTGTGGGTGTAGAGGACCACCCCCAGCCCCCAAGGCAGGTAGGCTGCATTAAAAGAGGGAATTAAAAAAGGACTGGCTGCTGGTTCTTCAGAGAAGCTCCAGTCTTCGCCTTCAGCTTGGTCGTCTCCTGGCTTCTGGAGCAGACTCTTTGGCTTCCATCTGGGACTCTTCAGCCTTCTGGTGTTGGCTCTCCGGCCTTCATCATAGATTCTTCAGCATTCCGTCGCAGACCCATCAGCCTCCTGATACGGACTTGCATGGACACTGCAGTGAGCTCCAGGCCTGGGGCTGGGCTCTTCAATCTCCAGGGTGCAGACACCCTCTGCACACTTCCTCATCCAGCTCTGTGGCTGACCATTGTAAGCCAAACTTGTAATTTCTTGTACATTTGTTTATCTTGTGTTATCTCTGTTCCTCTAGCAAACCCTGACTGATACAGAGTTCTAACCAGACTCTTTCATCTTCTTCATCAGTCTCTGCTTACAGCATTTTAAGTCTTCTCTAGATGGCACCTTCCAACTTTTCCCAATTCCTTCTACAGATCAGTTTAAAAAGCTTCTGAACCACATGGACAGGGCCAGTCACGGCAACCACCATGTTCTTGGTAACAGTGAGCTTTATTAGTCTCTTTCTCATCACTGGGACAAAGTACTCAATATCCACAGCTTAAAGGAGAAAAGGCTGACAGCCTCAGTGGGTTCTTTCCCTGGCTCGCTGGACCCAAGGCGGAATGGCATGAAGAAAGGGCATGGTGGAGGGCATCGCAGAGAGAAACTGCTCGCCGTGTGGCAGCCAGGAAGCAGAGAAGGGAGGAGCTGGGGTCAAGAACGCATCCTTACAACTCATGCCCCAGGGACTCACACATTTCCGACCAGGCCCCACCTCTGAACGTACGCCTTTCGGGGAACATCTTACATCTACACTGTCACACTCTCCGAAGAAATTAGGAAACTGTCTCCTTTCTCTTTGCTTCTTTCTCTGGGTCCTGGCTGACGAGGTAAGGGGTTTTAGCCTTCCACAAACTGTCTCCACGATGTGCTAATTGACTACATGGCTTGTGCGCCAGGCACAGACTATAACTTCTAAAACTGCAAACCAAAATAAACCTTTTCTCTTTATAAGGCAGTTACCTCAGGTGTTTTCTCATAGCATCAGGAAGCTGACAACACAGTAGCTGTGGGATGTTACATGTTAGAGGTAAACTATGGCCCCTTTCCCAGGTTGCAGCTGGCCTCAACTCAGCTCTGTCTCCCAGCTTCCAGGATGCCCTGGGCCTGGATGCCGTCTTAGAAGCCAGCGTCTCTGTGTTCTCCCAACAGCCACTGCACACTCTCCCCTTGTGCTGTCCCCGGGTGACAGCAGGCCTGCACTTCCTGTCGGTGGCCTCCCCGTCCTCTGTTTTCCTGTGCTGCCCCCTGTCTGCAGAGATCATAGATGCAAACCATGGTTCCAGCCTGCAGTGCCACGTGGCGAGTTTCTTGGCAGCTGAGATTTATTCTGTTTGGTTTTAGTTTCAGCTCTTTCCAATTAACATGTCCAAAATGTTAGAAAGGAGAGAGGGATAGGAAAGAGGGGGACCATGACGATGAAACACACACAGCTCAAGATCTATGGTCAGTTCCACAGTACGCGGGGCTGGCGGCCGCCACTCACCACCATAGTTCACTCTGAAAGATACGTTGAGGCTAACTGTTCTGTAAGTGTGGTAGTAACGTCCTCTTACTCCTAGTCTGTGAACACTCTCGACACCAGCTGTGTCGTGAAAACTGCTTGTCTGAAGCAAGAATATTTGAGTAGATGTGTTAATATGGACATGACCTAAGAATGAAAGAAAAATGACTAGAAAACTACTTCCAAACAATGTCATTACAATTCTATGACCAGAGACTACCATGGGAAATATGTATTGGTGGGAGGGTGAGACCAGATTCTAGACTAAGTCCTGCATGGCCCCAGTGACTCCAGTGGGATAAGGGGAGGCACCCCAAGCCAGTGTGCCTACAGGCAACCCTGTGGTCAGCTACTGTCTTTAAAAGTTCATAAACTGAAGCTGGAAGGGCAAAGAGGTCCCAGACATGGCAGGAACTTCTCAGAGTAGCTGCAGCCCAGGGTGAAGTTAGACCTTCTAAAATATGTGGCTGTGACAACAAAACTTTTAAATCTACATCTCAAAAAAGCATGAACATGCTGGGGGTCAAATCCAGGGCCTCACACATGCTAGGAAAGCATTCTGCTACTGAGCTGCACCTCCAGCCCCCTCCTCAAGTTCTAATGAGCGTCCAGAGGCCGGTGTGAACGCAGCAAAATCACACACTTGCCTGTTGTCAGTTGTGATACGACTGGAGACTCATGAAGCATGCAAACAGCCCACAAATGTCTTGTGACTGTATAATACCCCATTGAGTAGGTGCGTAATTTACACAATAAATAACTGTGCAATACTTTTTAAAGGATAAGAAAAACACCGGGCTGCAGGAAAAATGCTGTGCTGTCAGCTGTTAGCAAGATGGAAATCAGAGCTGTTCAACTCTTGTTTTACTCAAGTATTCTTCCAAAGAAAAATTACAAATGTTTTTAAAACACTTCATGTAAATTTAAAGATCTATCTAGAACAATCTTTGAAGTTACTAAAAAATAGAAATGGTGCTTAAAATTCACCATGTTTTACCCGACATGTTTGCAAGCACTCTGATATGACCTGAGACTCGTTGTTAACTATATCTTCAAGAATTCATGGAGAAGGGGAGAGATGCCAAAATCAAGAGGCAAAAAGTAGACCAAATTTTAAAAGGGTTGTAAACCTCAGACTAGTAAATATATTATTCCCTGGGAAATCTGGACCGGAGAATCAAGTTGCTTATTCATCTGCATTTTGAAAACTGTCTAGGATTCCATTGAAACAGGATGCATTTTTTTGTGGGTTTGTTTTTTTCCGGTACCGGGGATCAAACTCACAACCTTGCGCTCGCCAGGCAGGCGCTGTGCTGCTGAGCTAAATCCCCAGCCCCTCAGTTTGCATTTTTAAAAGAGCAAGTTATGCCAAGCTAATAACATTTCTTTTCTCCTAAAAGGCTGGTGAGTTCATTGAGTAGTTCTTTCAGTTCATTGACAAATATTTTTGAGTCAGATACCACACAATCAAAACTCCTCTAGACAGGGGCAGCCTAGCAGTGCAAAAGAAAGCAAAACTCTCCTTCACAAAGCACGCATTTCACAAGATGTGATCTGCATATGTACCAATTTCCCATGATGAATGTATTCACACATTGCAAGCGTATACTTATAAAAAGACACATATCCAATTCTCAAAAAAAAAAAAGCACACATTTAGTAATAAAAGAGTCTGAAGGGAATAGACATATCCTGCTGATCAGTTCCGTTGATAAAAAGAAAGCAGAATAAAGAGATGAAAAGTAAGAGAGCAGCACTGGAAAACTACATCCCGCTGTAAGCAAAATACTTGACAGTGGTGGTGTAATACGCTTTCAGGCAAGATGAGGCAACGTGGATTCGTGATAGGAAGGTAGTTGGTTGAATTTGTCACCCTGATTCCTACAAATTAGTGAGAATCTAGAGGGGTTGGTTCAAAAGCCCTGTACTCAGAGAATACTCTAGATAATGACCAGACTATTTCTGACCCCATCTTAATCAGAACTGTCACTGATGGTTTAAATGGAGACATAGGGTCATCACTCCGAAAAAGAAAATCTAGGAGGGACAATAGTAGAGAAGCAATAAATAAAAGGCAAAAGGGCAAAATGAAGAATGAAGACTCTGAAGA